AATCACAATATCACATCACCTCAGACCCACCCCAGTGCGAAACGATTCACTGGTGCGAGCCTGGAAATAAACAACAATCACAATATCACATCACCTCAGACCCACCCCAGTGCGAAACGATTCACTGGTGCGAGCCTGGAAATAAACAACAACATATCCGATAACATGAACCAAGACTTTCCCATCCCAAGTCCAAGTCAACAACTCATATCTCACGGGTCACTACAGTCAAGCCATACTCGCGATTCTCAACTATAGCAGGGTATAATGCAATGAATACTATGTAACAGTGTCATGAATCATTAACAGGAAACGTGAACAACTACTAATAACAGTGCAAGATGGAACTACAACTATCAAATAATTATACATGAAAACTCGCAATTTCCAATCGTCATGATCACAAATTTATTAATTCCAAAAATAATCTTTTCCAAAATAGATTCTTTTAAAAATAATCCCTTTTCCAAAAATTTCCCTTAAAATTATTTAACATTATAATTATTCAAAACTAACCCATTTTCTAAAATAAAATCTTCTAACTTATTTATTATTATAATAATTCAAATTAAACCATTTTTCCAAAATAAACTCTTTTAAAAATTATTTCTCATAATGATAATTCTAATTAATCTAGAAAAACATTAATTTATCATTTGGAATCATTTAATATCATCATCAACAGTCCCACGCAGATAATCGCAATATACTAGTTATAACTAATCATATTACAACATAAATAATTCACAATTGATCCAGAAATTGAATTGACGAGTCAAAAGGAAGCGGGATCTTGCCTGCGAGACCGTGGGGTCTGACGAGGAGATGGCGTTGGTGGTTGTGGTTGGTGGTCGGAGGCGGCTGACTGGGCGGCGGAGGTGCTGCAGGCGGAGGGCACGACGGGGTTCAGGCGGTGAGGACCGGTGGGAGGAGCTCGCGGCGGTCTGAGGAGGTTGGTCGGGGCTGGGGTTCGGGTCTGTCGGATCCGGAGATGAGCGGGGCGGCGACTCGGCGTGGTCGAGGCTGAGGGCGACGGAGGCCGGAGCGGTGGTCGAGGGGTGGAATGGCGGTGGACGTGGGTTTCGTCGGAGGTCGCGGGTGTTGGGTTGTGCGGACGAAAAAAACAGAGAGAGAGAGAGAGGGAGAGAGAGAGATGAGAGAGGAGGAGAGAGAAGATATTATGGCGGCTGGGTTTTTTTTGGGTGCTCACGTGAAAAGAAGAGAAGAATATATAGAGAGAGATTAGGTTAGGGTTAGGGATTAAATTAAACAAAATTAATTAAAATAAAATAGTTAAGGGTATTTAAAAATTAAACTAATCACATAATATTTAACTACAAATAAAAACGTACATGTTAAGCTAATACAATAGCTGATACGAAACAGACAAAATATACCCATATTGTATAATTAAACAAGAATAATTAAAAATAAAAATATATTTACTTACATTTAAAATCAAATACTTATGGGACAATTACGTACGCAATAAAACGTACTAGTTATACTAATACGATAGATAATATGTAATAGTTAAAATAATGTAATCAATTATACCAAAAAAAATACGTAATTAATAATACAAAGTATTATACGAAATATTGCGTAATAATATTAATAGTATAATATATTATT